TTAAATTTAGCAAGAGTTCGAGGATGAAGAAACACAAACAGGACTGCGCGAGTTCCATGGAGCCTGCTGGATCAGCTGCTGGCAGTTGGTGTTCTCAATCACGTCCGTGCTTAGGCTTCATAACGTCAGAGGCGCGCTTGTAGAATAAGATACATTAAAAGAGAATCAGCAGTGACGCTCCATCGTGTGTGGCAAACATACAGTACTCTCAACTTTTTTATTATAAGCTTTGTGTTCTCGCAAACCCGGACCTTTCCTGGAATATTATACGTTTGGAAATATTAATTTAGAAACTTGTGACGCTCTGTGACAGACTTTTGCCGGGAATACTTGAACTGAACCTGCATATTCAACCAATTTTAAGAGTCAACAATGGCAGAGACGGTGGCAGCTCCAGCCCCAAAGGCCAAAAAGGCGAAGGCACCCAAGAAACCTGCTTCACACCCGAAATACTCGGATATGATTATGGCGGCCGTCCAGGCAGACAAAAGCCGTGGAGGTGCGTCCAGACAATCTGTCCAGAAGTACATCAAGAGCCACTACAAAGTGGGAGACAATGCCGATTCCCAGATTAAGCTGTCTCTGAAGAGGATGGTGAGTGGCGGGGTCCTGCGCCACACCAAAGGCATCGGCGCGTCAGGCTCCTTCAAACTGGCTAAAGCAGAGGACACCAAAAACGCACCTAAAGCTAAAGCCGTTGTGAAAGCAAAGAAGTCGCCTGTGAAAGTCGCTAAGCCCAAGAAGGTAGCAAAGCCCAAGAAGGTGGCCAAATCACCAGCAAAAGCCAAGAAAGCAAAAGTGACAGTGAAGAAAGTGAAAAAGTCCCCGAAGAAAGCGGCACCAAAGCCCAAGAAAGTGGCAAAGAAACCCAAGGTGGCGAAGCCAGCCAAGGCAGCTAAACCCAAGAAGGCCAAAGCTGCAAAACCCAAACCCAAGGCAGCAGCCAAGAAAGCCGCAAAGAAAAAGTAAAATTGACATTTCAGAGAGACTTGTAAATACTTTGAGGAAATGTCTGTATATGTAATATTATTTTTGTATGGTCTCATGCGAATTGATCAGTTTTTACCAATTGTTTTCCACTCCATTGCACTATATGATGCTGTAAAAAGTGGGTCTGGAATTAAAGCATTTTTATGTAACAGCATTAATTGTTAGGCTACTATTTATTATTTCTCTCCGATCCTTGGAAACCTGTAACATATGGACCTGTTAGAAAATGAATGTGACACTAATCTGGAATTTTTATTGATTAGGCTATTGGAACAAGTGAATAATAGTTATTGTTCTCTGTGCACGAGGTCATTCTGAACATACAATTGTTTCAATAGTGAGCATTGTTGAGCTACACAATGTATAGAATTGTGTAGGCACGGACGTCAGCAAGATTTTCAAGGGATGGTATGGCTCCAAATGCGGACTCTATGCTACTTTTTTGTAAACCAACCATGCCATGTTCCATTAATTAAGTCTATTTGTAATAAACTGCAGACTATGTATTGCATCACTTTTGAAACGGTTAATACAATAATATTTTCTCATCTTCTAAATATGTCAACGTATTAGTCGCGTTTTATGCATGCATACACGTCTACAAATGCAGTTCTCAACCCTCATTTGAATGAAATGCACAGATAAAGTAATTGAAGGGCTATTGAGTAATGAAATAACGAGTAACTCAATTCCACGCATATTGAATTAGTCAAAAAGAGAGCTTCCTTGACATCTGCAACCAGTTTAACGGTTCGACTGTTGGATAGTAAAGTGCCCATATATCCAAATTGGTAATCGTTTATGTGGCCTGACTGAAACTTGCCTACATTAGGCCTAATAATACCCTAGCCTATATGATGAAATAAGATGGTCGCATAAAAAAAACTAGAATCCTAGAATATGCCCACTTCAAGGCTTTTTTTCTTCTTGAATTGACAACATATAGGGCATCATGTTTAAGACATCAACCAACGTTCTACCTACACAAACTGATAAGGCTATTCAAGTTTTAGACAAATGCCGATCAATTACCAACAAATATGACAGATATTAAGAAGTGTTGTTAATAAACTAGAGTTTCTAATTCTTTATGTTCTCAAGGTTCTCAATCTTCGAAGAATGCACATTTTCTAAATCCTGAACCAAGCCCAAGGACCCTATCTAAAAGGTCAGGAACTGAGTAGCTCAGTCATCTTTCTCTGTATTGATGACTGGACATAGCTCTGAGCAATAGGTGAAGCATAATTATTTGTTGAGCAGAGCATCCGTTTTCAGCTATAGCTTTTTTCTGTCCTACTGTACAGTGCAGATGGGAGTTGGAAAGGAGAAAGCCTCCCCCTAAAGAAAACCGTTTTTCCTACCTGAAGTTAACTCGACCTCGATACTTCCATCTCCTGGTTGCTTTCCGTATTTTCTTTCCCACCATGTTGTTGAAGCTGTTTACAGGGGTAGCAGTTAGAAACCTTAAAAAGGACAAGAATATACAAACGTTCTTTTCTTCAAAGTAGTCTAATGGCCATTTCCAACTGAGACTTGCCCCACACTAGTTAGTTGAGTCGACAGAGATTATGTTAATGTAAGCTCTAGTGTAATTTTTCGGGAACTGGGTTTACATCAGGAATGCGACACTAAAGATCTGGGGCGTGCAGAATTCCAGAATCAACATCCTCTGCATCATCAAGACAGTTGCTTTTTGAGAAGGTGTTATCACATCCCATGTTCACATATGGCCATTTTTATGTAAATAACATCTGAAAAGTACCTGTGGCCTTGGCCCCAAGTCAGAGCAGGTCCATTGAGGCCATGGGCCTAGTGAGACACTGGAGCCGAGCTGTGGAGGTGTAAACATAAAGTCTGAACCTTTTTGGTAAAACACAGGTAAGTCTCCGGTGGAAATTCGCCATTACATTTATTTTCTATTCATTTTTCACTTTGAACATCAATATTTCAGTTATTCACTTCTTCTACTTACTGCTTGTAAAAAAGGTAAGCAGTCTTGGTTGGTGACAGGTAAGAGTAGGCCTAGCCTATGAGTTCAACTTGTCACCTGGCAACAGCTATTTTGCATTCAGCAGTCCAAAATGGCAAACAAGACAGAAGTCCATTCGAAATATAAAATATGTTTTAAAAAGGTTTTGTGTTTACATTTTGTTAACGTTTTTTTGGTCACAATATCGTGACATGCCGGTATAGTATGTCTACCTGCAAAATGCCCTAATTAAATTCAGGTGATGCTGAATGCTCACGTGCAAAAGAGCACACTTAAAAAAATAAAAATAAGTAGAGGGCATCTCAGAACTTATTGCACATGAGTTCTGTGATACATTCAGTTTCCTTACAAGAAAGCATAACCAGACACACCATTATGTTAGGCCAGATCATCAAACATATTATCAATAAATTTATGTCAAACCTGTACAATTGTGTGTAGTTTAGCACACAATCTATTTGATATTTTTGGACATTATCCATTTGCCTTTGGACATTGATCACACATTGAACACAAAGCACCAGTGTACACATACACCAACACACACAAATATCCCCACTATAACAGTCACGGATACATGTTTGGCAAAACGGTCAACAATCCTCATTTTTCTTTATTCAGCAATTCACTTTAGTTGTTTTATGTCACTTTCAAATCAATAGGATCCAAAGTGTAACAGTCACAGAACGTTAGGCTACTTATTCTGTGGTAATAGTAGGTCCCCAACTAAAATAACCAACCAATAAAGATGACTGATTGTCCATTTCTTTAAAAAAAAAAAAAGGCCAAATTAAGTCATACAATCAAAATCTTGACACACAGATCCATGTATGCACACATGCATGCACACACACACACACACACACACACACACACACACACACACACACACACACACACAATATCATGAAATAAGAATGACAGCAAAATGATTCGGATGTTTTAACACTACTGATTTCTTTGAGTAAGGAGGATGCATTACAGACTTCAGTGTGTCTTTTTCATAAGTCAATACAATATAATAACTTCTCTTTATGCACAACAAGACATTGCTTCCTCCACAATTCTTATCTGGCAAGCCACCACTGGTGCTATCGGAGGACAAACCTCTTAAAATCAAAAATAAACAGTACACTAATAAATGGATCTAGTTTGTTTAGTTCATTTCACCCACAACCCTAGTATAGCAGAACCTAAAGGAGTGATAGCATGTATTTTACCGTTACTGTCCGTAACATGGAGGCTTTTGTATTTGGCAAATCAGGTCTGAAAGTCTATCTCAGTGTCGTGTTTCGCGGGGCTCCTTTTGGGACTTCCAGCAACTGCCCAGCATTGAGCTAGATGTGCCTTCCCAGAGTGTCTGTTGCTCGGTTACATCCTTGCAGCAGGTTCCTCCATAGCTGGTGTTCTAAGGTTTGGGGCTGCTTGACAGATGCATTCGGACCCTGTCTTCACCCCCCCCCCCCCCCCCCCAGTTCGTGATATGGACTGTTTGAATTCGCCATGTTGCCCTTTGGTTTCTAAACAGCACCAGCCTTTCTGAAGTTTGATATGTTTGATATTTGAAATGTTGTGCCTTCCTTGTATCTGCATATCCTCATTTGATAAAGCACCCATATATTTGTAGCAGCTCTTGGGGGAATCGTTGCATTGAGCACAGGGAGGGTACCTCCTTAGCCTGGAATTTGACACCATAAGGCAGAGCGAGCAAGGTAGGTCAGGAGAGGGTGAAAGAAAATGGTCACAAGCCTCCATTTTGACTAAGATAATTAGTCAGCGAAGAAGACCTGACTACCTGGAGTAGCCTGGAATAGCAGAATTGGAGAGGTTGGTGTGTAAATAACGATGAAGTAAAATGGATGAGTTTTGTCTGTCAGGTCTAAACGGCTAGTTTGTCTAGATGGCTAGTTTGACTCTAGACGGTTGGTCTGGAGTGCGTGTGGAGTGTTGGTTTTGAAGGCTGGTCTGGAGTTGGGGTTGAGGGAAAAAGAGGGGGGTGGGGCTCCGGTCAGGACCCCAGTTATTTATGTCGGGCGAAAGCTCTGTAGAAGGCGAAGCCTAGGACTGTGACCACTGCTGCTCCTAGCGTCACACTCAGCCAGAAGGAGGTGTTGCTTATGTCGGAGTCGTTCAGGTGTCTGTGGGGGGGAGACAAAGTAATCAATGAACTGACAAATGAAACAGCATAAAGGTACAGACCACTACAGAGTATAAACTAAAAAGTGACATGAATTTCTAGTTTCTCAACACTGAAACGCCAAACTATAGATGAAATGGTGATAAACAGAGATAACTGTTAGCCAAATGTGACAGTCAGTGTACTAATGCGTACGGGAACATGGCGGCCCAGGCCAGCTTGGTGTAGATGTTCTTGCTGGTGGAGTCCAGGGACAGGCCGGAAAAGGGGAGTGGCGGAGGCAGCCGGTGTTTGTAGCAGAACTCTGCCGGGGTCATCCCGTGGAGCTGTCTCACCTCGGGGAGGTCTGCCTTGGAGGCCACCACTACACAGGGAATACTGCTGTCCATGTAGTGTTGCTACAGATAAGACATAGATATATGTGGATGAAGAGAAATGGGGTGTGGTGAAGAGAAAGAGGGAAGGACAGAAGAAGAGTAAAGAACATTGAAGAACAGATTCCTGATCATTTCATTGAAATACATTCTGTTCCTTTGTGAAAACCAGAGAAGCTCTGAAGCAGACATGAGATGCTGCTCACCTTGTATATACTGCCACAGTAGTCGAAGGAGTGGGGGTCGTTTGTGTCATACATGAGACATGCTACGTCGCACGCCGCATCCGACGCCTTTAGGAACTCAGTTTCCACGTCCACCTCGTAGAGCTGCCAGGGAAAGACGACAGATGGGAGGTGAGGCTACTTTACTCTACCAAAGGTCAGGGGTCAGAGTTGATGTACTCACGATGAGGAACTTCTCCTGGTTGCTAACTTGGACAGTGTTTATGGTGTAGAAGGAAAAGGCACCGGTGGAATGCTCCTCTCGCTGAAATAAACACACAGACCGTTACCCTCATCATTAGCTGTAGTAATGCTTGTAGTTAAGGTAGGTTTTCAACATTATTTCTCAGCTCGAACACATCATATTAATAATGCAGAATGGTCTTACAATGAAGAGTAAAGTACTAAACAGTTCCTCAAGGAATTCTGTATCGCTATTTAGTCAAAATAATATTTAGGCAAACAATAGTGTGACGACCGTACCACTGTGTTTCGGCCAAGGAAGACCTGGAGGAACGCAGACTTCCCAGTCCCCCGCGGTCCAATCACTTTACATAGGAACACTGACCGCTGAGTCTGGCCCTTCTCCAGGTCCACGGCCTTCTCCCGCGTCACTGCAGAGCCACACACATACGGACAGCACCAACACACACAACACACACACACACACACACACACACCAACAAACAGACAGACACATAGCAGGGACAGGGAACCGTTGATTAATAAGATGAAGTACTATCAAAGCATTTAAAACAATCATATTTCCCCTTGGTTAATGTAGGGGAATGCAAAATCTGATCTAAGGTGGTGGAGTTAAGAGTAACCTTGGGAGTTTTGGAATCATTTGAGCTTTTGGCCCACTCCCACATTTATAGCAGGGTCAGCTAAACCTGCTCACCTCCGCCGCACAGGCTGAGTGTGTGTGAGAGCATTAGCGCCAATGAGACTCTTACATTACATCACCCTACCCTAATCCTGCTACAGCATGCAGCCACGCCCTCAATTTTACACACACACACACACACACACACACACACACACACACACACACACACACACAACCAGCGTTCCTTAAGCACCCTTGTGGATGCAGGTTTTAGCTTCAAACAATCCCATTAGATTTCACTGGGAGGTCGGTTGAGTGTCACACTCTGGCTCCGGGACTGTTTGTTGAGCCAGGGTGTATTTCATTTGGTGGTGTTGGGGATGGGTGTGTTTCATTTGTTGTGTTTGGTTTTGGTATGTTTCCTTATTTGGTCAATGACTCCCAATCGGAGGTAACGAGTGTCAGCTGTCGGCTCGTTATCTCTGATTGGGAGCCATATTTAAACTGTGTGTTTTCACTTTGTGGTTGTGGGTTTTTGTTCCATTGTTCTATGTTACGTGTTCCTGTTCAGTAGTAGTCACTGAGGACGTTACGATCGTGTTTTGTTTCGTTTTCGTGTGTGCGCTTTACATAATAAAGTATGTACGCTTATCACGCTGCGCCTTGGTCCGCTCATTTTGAAGACGATCGTGACAGAAAAACCCACCATCAAAGGACCAAGCAGCGTGTCCAGGAGCCTAGGGTCTGGACATGGGAGGAGATTTTGGACGGAAAAGGGTCCTGGACTTGGGAGGAGATCCTGGATGGGATGGATCGCCGTCCATGGAGCGAAACTGTGGAGAGGCGACGGAGAGAGGAGCAACGGCGTCGGCAGGGCCATCGTCGGAAGGACGAGAGGCAACCCCAATAAATTTTTTGGGGGGGGCACATGGCTTGGGCGGCTGGGCAGCAGGAGGCTGCCACAGGTAGACGTGGAGAGAAGGCTACCGGAGTACGGGAGCCATTGGCGAGTAGAGGGAGGGAAGTTGTTGTGGCACGGCGTGAGAGACTGAAGTGTGTTACCAGTCCGGTCCGGCCCGTTCCTGAGCCCCGGTTAAGGCCAGTGGTGTGTGTTCCCAGTACGGACCGGCCTGTGTCTACTCCACGCGTCAAGCCCACGGTGTGCGTCGCCAGCCCGGCCTGTTCCTGCGCCACGTACGAAGCCTATGGTGTGCGTCGCCAGCCCAGCCCGGCCTGTCCCTGCGCCACGTAGGAAGCCTACGGTGTGCGTCGCCAGCCCAGCCCGGCCTGTTCCTGCGCCACGTACGAAGCCTACGGTGTGCGTCGCCAGCCCAGCCCGGCCTGTCCCTGCGCCACGTAGGAAGCCTACGGTGTGCGTCGCCAGCCCAGCCCGGCCTGTTCCTGCGCCACGTACGAAGCCTACGGTGTGCGTCGCCAGCCCAGCCCGGCCTGTCCCTGCGTCACGTAGGAAACCTACGGTGTGCGTCGCCAGCCCGGCCCGGCCTGTTCCTGCCACTCGCACCAAACCAGGGGTGCGAGTCGCCAGCCTGGTCCAGCCCGTTCCGGCTATTCGCACCAAGCCTCCTGTGTGTCTCCAGAGTCCTGTGCGTCCTGTTGCTGCTCCCCGCACTAGCCCTGAGATGCGTGTCCTCAGCCCCGGACCACCAGTTCCGGCACCACGCACTAGGCCTTGTGTGCGTCCCCAGGATCCGTCAGCCAGCCATGAGCAGCCAGATCCGTCAGCCAGCCATGAGCAGCCAGATCCGTCAGCCAGCCATGAGCAGCCAGATCCGTCAGCCAGCCATGAGCAGCCAGATCCGTCAGCCAGCCATGAGCAGCCAGATCCGTTAGCCAGCCATGAGCAGCCAGATCCGTCAGCCAGCCATGAGCAGCCAGATCCGTCAGCCAGCCATGAGCAGCCAGATCCGTCAGCCAGCCATGAGCAGCCAGCTCCGTCAGCCAGCCATGAGCAGCCAGATCCGTCAGCCAGCCATGGGCAGCCAGATCCGTCAGCCAGCCATGAGCCGTCCAGCCAGGATCCGCCAGAGCCGTCCAGCCGGGATCCGCCAGAGCCGTCCAGCCGGGATCCGCCAGAGCCGTCCAGCCGGGATCCGCCAGAGCCGTCCAGCCGGGATCCGCCAGAGCCGTCCAGCCGGGATCCGCCAGAGCCGTCCAGCCGGGATCCGCCAGAGCCGTCCAGCCGGGATCCGCCAGAGCCGTCCAGCCGGGATCCGCCAGAGCCGTCCAGCCAGGATCCGCCAGCCAGCCAGGATCCACCAGAGCCAGCCAGCCAGGATCCGCCATTTAGTCCGGTGCTGCCCCTTAGCTCGGTGTTGCTCCTTATCCTGGTGCTGCCCCTTAGTCCGGTGCTGCCCCTTAGCTCGGTGCTGCTCCTTATCCTGGTGCTGTCCCTTAGTCCGGTGCTGCCCCTTAGTCCGGTGCTGCCTCTTAGTCCGGTGCTGCCCCTTAATCCAGGTGGGTTAGGTTGTAGGGTGGTCAAATGGAGGAGGCTACTAAAGCGGGTAGTGACTATGGTGGGGTGGGGACCACGACCAGTGCCAGAGCCGCCTCCGAGGAGCAACACCCACCCAGCCCTCCCCATTTTTTGGGTTAGGCGCGGTCGGAGTCCGCGCCTTTGGGGGGGGGGTACTGTCACACTCTGGCTCCGGGACTGTTTGTTGAGCCAGGGTGTATTTCATTTGGTGGTGTTGGGGATGGGTGTGTTTCATTTGTTGTGTTTGGTTTTGGTATGTTTCCTTATTTGGTCAATGACTCCCAATCGGAGGTAACGAGTGTCAGCTGTCGGCTCGTTATCTCTGATTGGGAGCCATATTTAAACTGTGTGTTTTCACTTTGTGGTTGTGGGTTTTTGTTCCATTGTTCTATGTTACGTGTTCCTGTTCAGTAGTAGTCACTGAGGACGTTACGATCGTGTTTTGTTTCGTTTTCGTGTGTGCGCTTTACATAATAAAGTATGTACGCTTATCACGCTGCGCCTTGGTCCGCTCATTTTGAAGACGATCGTGACATTGAGGTTAATTGACCAATTGAAGGATGCGACTATGGCATTATTATTGATATCCTCAAATGTGTAAATTCTGTGCTAGCAGCCCATATACTAACTAAACCACACATTCAGTCTCCACACCAGTCAAACTGCATATTCAAAGTTAAACTTTCAGAGTCATTGTACAGTCGTGGTCGAAAGTTTTGAGAATGACACAAGTATTGCTCTTCACAAAGTTTGCTGCTTCAGTGTTTTTAGATATTTTTGTCAGATGTTACTATGGTATACTGAAGTATAATTACAAGCATTCCATAAGTGTCAAAGGCTTTTCTTGACAATTACATTAAGTTTATGCAAAGAGTCAATATTTGCAGTGTTGACCCTTCTTTTTCAAGACCTCTGCAATCTGCCCTAGCATGCTGTCAATTAACTTCTGGGCCACATCCTGACTGATGGCAGATGCACTCACACCTGCCTGCTGCCATTCCTGAGCAAGTTCTGCACTGGTGGTGCCCCGATTCCGCAGCTGAATCACCTTTAGGAGACGGTCCTGGCGCTTGCTGGACTTTCTTGGGCGCCCTGATGCCTTCTTCACAACAATTGAACCTCTCTCCTTGAAGTTATTGATGATCCGATAAATGGTTGATTTAGGTGCAATCTTACTAGCAGCAATATCCTTGCCCGTGAAGCCCTTTTTGTGCAAAGCAATGATGACGGCACGTGTTTCCTTGCAGGTAACCATGGAAGAACAATGATTTCAAGCACCACCCTCCTTTTAAAGCTTCCAGTCTGTTATTCTAACTCAATCAGCATGACAGAGTGATCTCCAGTCTTGTCCTCGTCAACACTCTCACCTGTGTTAACGAGAGAATCACTGACATGATGTCAGCTGGTCCTTTTGTGGCAGGGCAGAAATGCAGTGTAAATGTTTTTGGGGGATTAAGTTCATTTTCATGGCAAAGAGGGACTTTGCAATTAATTGCAATTCATCTGATCACTCTTCATAACATTCTGGAGTATCTGCAAATTGCCATCATAAAAACTGAGGCAGCAGACTTTGTGAAAATTAAAGTTGTGTCATTCTCAAAACTTTTGACCATGACTGTACATCCACAGAAGGCATACAAACTATATATAATTCTGTCTGTAGGACCTATACTGAACCAGATTATAGTTCTAATCCTCTAACTACAGTGAGTGAGGTTTACTACGGCACTAGGATTATAGGTTCTAGTTTACAGGTTTATAGGTTTATGTGTTGACATGTGTGCAGACACACACCTGTGACTGCAGTGGTTTGGGAGTCCTGCTGAGTAAGGATGGGGTAGCCCAGGTATCCCAAGTACTCCAGGCAGCGATGGATGTCAAGGTATGCTGAAAGCCTGTATACAAAGGGAAGACACATTAGTGAAGATAGAGAACAGAATAGGAACCACAGAATTAGGAATTCAAATACTAAAACGGACATGAACCTTTTTATGATGGGATAAAGGTCAGCCATTTTGGTCAGGGAGTTGGTCAACCATGGTTTGCCAGTGCTGTGATAAGATATTGTGTCAAATAATGAATTTGAAGAATCTGCATTGTATGTTTGTTAGCTAGCAAGCCAGACAGTTTAAGAGGAATGATCCCATAAATGTTTCTAATTAACTGCCAATATGCCAACATTCTATTCAAACAATGCAGTCAATCCACAGCCATACACTGGCTGAAATCAGTTGATGATAGGACTTAGACAAGTTGTAAATGCAAAAGTACTGATATTGTATCATATCATAGCACACACAGTTATCCAAGAAAACTTGAAATACTTTAGGGTTTTTTGTTGCGTTGAGTGTTAATCGTTTTCTGATAGTGAGTGTCTTTACACAATGGAAGTGTCACGCCCTGGCTCTGGGGACTATGTTATGTTGAGCCAGGGTATGTAATCTATGTTTGTATATCTATGTGGGCCTGAGTGACTCCCAATCAGAGGCAACGAGTGTCAGCTGGTTGTCTCTGATTGGGAGCCATATTTAACTATCGGTCTTTTCACTTTGTGTTGTGGTTTCTTGTTCCTTTTGGTTTGTGTGTATCGAAGGACTTCACGTTTCGTTCGTTGTTTTGATCGGGTGATCTGTTTAATAAATAATATGTACGCATTCAACGCTGCGCATTGGTCCTCCTCCTTAAGCGATCGTGACAGAAGAAACCACCAAGACAGGACCAAGCAGCGTGAAGAGGAGAGTGGATGGACCTGGGATCAGTGGAGTAGGAGTCTCAACTGGGCCCAGCCAAGCGAAGAGCAGAAAGGTTGGACTTTGAAGCAGTGGAGTGAGAGTCTGGCGAGAACTAGGGAGGCCTGGTCCACGGGGAGGAGAGAACCCCAGAAAATTTTTAGGGGGGGGCTCACAACGTGGACGACGGGGCAGCCGGAGGCCGCGATGGAGCGGTCCAGCGGGTGTGCAGAGGAGGCCGCCAGGTTAAGGGGGCCACTGGTCACAGAGGAGAGGGAAAGTGTGGAGGCACGGCGAGAGGTACTGGGGTGTATTACCAGTCCGGTCCGGCCCGTTCCTGATCCCTGCATAGGGCCAGTGGCGTGTGTCCCCAGTACGGTTCGGCCTGTTCCTGCCTCTCGCACCGAGCCTGTGGTGCGCGTCGTCAGCCCTGTCCGGCCCGTTCCTGCTCTCCGTACCAAGTCGGTGGTGCGCGTCGCCAGCCCGGTCCGGCCCATTCCTGCTCCCCGCACCAAGTCTGTGGTGCGTTTCGTCAGCCCGGATCGGCCCGTTCCTGCTCCCCGCACCAAGTCAGGGGTGCGCTTCGACAGCCCGGCTCGGCCCGCTCCTGCTCCCCACACCAAGCCAGTGGTGTGCGTCGTCAGCCCGGCTCGGCTCGTTCCTGCTCCCCGCACCAAGTCAGGGGTGCGCTTCGACAGCCCTGCTCGGCCCGCTCCTGCTCCCCACACCAAGCCAGTGGGGTGCGTCGTCAGTCCGGCACGGCCCGTGCCTGTTCTCCGCACCAAGTCTGTGGTGCGTTTCGTCAGCCCTGTCCGGCCCGTTCCTGCTCTCCGCACCAAGTCTGTGGTGCGCGTCGTCAGCCCGGTTCGGCCCGTTCCTACTCCACGCACCAAGCCTACGGTGTGCGTCGACAGCCCAGAGCGACTTACAGTTAGTGAGTGCATACATTTTCATACTGGCCCCCCGTGGGAATCGAACCCACATCCCTGGCGTTGCAAGCGCCATGCTCTACCAACTGAGCTACACGGCAACATTCTAGAATTCTATTGGGGTCTAAAGGATTAACACGAAACCAACTTCCAAATGTCAAGACTGCCCCAACAATTGCTTGAAACAAATATGTTTGATAGCATTTATACTTTTTGAACTATAACAATATTTAAATGAGCTCCCAATGCATTTCAATGGCAAAAAAAGGCCCATAGACTTTAATTGTAAAAACAAATCTAAACTTCTAGACCTATCTCCTCCTACACTGTTTAAGCCATCAACACCAAACCAACAATGAGATGTTCAGACTGGTCCAACTTGTATGGCTTGTCAAAGGATATTTGATACTATGTATACTTTTGGAACTATAACCATTTAACATTTGCATAAATTAACATGGGTTTGAATGAGAACCATAGGAATACAGTAGTAGCTAATCAAAATGGTCCTGCTCCTTGGTTAATTAAGCTTCAAGACTAACTTTAAAACGTTCAGGCTATCCTAACTTCAAATTCTTTCAAACTTCTATCAACTACAAACATTTGCATAATATAACTCACCAATCATAACTCTTGAACCGTTCGAGCTAGAGACACCAAACCAACTTTCACGTTCAGGCTATCCTAACTTCAAATTCTTTACACTCCTTATCAACTATAACTACAGTGCTTCGGTAAGTATTCAGACCCCTTCACTTTTTCCACATTTTGTTACATTACAGCTTTATTCTAAAATGGATCAAATAAAACATTTCCCTTATCAATCTACATACAATACCCCACAATGACAAAGCAAAAACAGGTTTTTAGACATTTTTGCAAATGTATTAAAAAATAAAAACAGAAATGCCTTATTTACATAAGTATTCAGACCCTTTGCTATGAGACTCGAAATTGAGCTCAGGTGCATCCTGTTTCCATTGATCATCCTTGAGATGTTTCTACAACTTGATTGGAGTCCACCTGTGGTAAATTCAATTGATTGGACATGCTTTGGAATGGCACACACCTGTCTATATAAGGTCCCACAGTTGACAGTGCATGTCAGAACAAAAACCAAGCCATGAGGTCGAAGGAATTGTCCATAGAACTCAGACAGGATTGTTTGGAGGCACAGATCTGGGGAAGGGTATCAGAAAAGTCTACAGCATTGAAGGTCCCCAAGAACACAGTGGCCTCCATCATTCTTAAATGGAATAAGTTTGGGAACCACCAAGACTCTTCCTAGAGCTGCCTGCCCTGCCAAACTGAGCAATCAGGGGAGAAGGGCCTTGGTCAGGGAGGTGACCAAGAATCCGATGGTCACACTGACAGGGCTCCAGAGTTCCTCTGTTGAGATGGGAGAACCTTCCAGAAGGACAACCATCTCTGCAGCACTCCACCAATCAGGCCTTTATGGTAGAGTGCCCAGATGGAAGCCTAAAGGACTCTCAGACGATGAGAAACAAGATTCTCTGGTCTGATGAAACCAAGATTAAACTCTTTGGCCTGAATGCCAAGCGTCACGTCTAGAGAAAACCAGGCATCACATCATTCCTACGGTGAAGTATGTTGGTGGCAGCATCATGCTGTGGGGATGTTTATCAGCGGCAGGGACTGGGAGACTAGTCTGGATCGAGGGAAAGATGAACGGAGCAAAGTAAAGAGAGATCCTTGATGAAAACCTGCTCCAGAGCGCTCAGGACCTCAGATTGGGGCGAAGGTTCACCTTCCAATAGGACAATGACCCTAAGCACACAGCCAAGACAACGAAGGACTGGCTTGTCCTTGAGTGGCCCAGCCAGAGCCTGTACTTGAACCCGATCGAACATCTCTGGAGAGACCTGAAAATAGCCGTGCAGCGAGGCTCCCCATTCAACCTGACAGCGCTTGAGAGGATCTGCGGAGAAGAATAGGAGAAACTCCCCAAATACAGGTGTGCCAAGCTTGTAGCGTCATACCCAAGAAGACTTGAGGCTGTAATCGCTGCCAAAGGTGCTTCAACAAAGTACTGAGTAAAGGGTCTGAATACTTATGTAAATGTTAAAATTCAGTTTTTATTTTTAATAAATTAGCAGAAATTTCTACAATCCTGTTTTTGCTTTGTCATTATGGGATATTGTGTGTAGATGTATTATTATTATTTTTTTACTAAATTTTAGAATAAGTCTGTAATCTACCAAAAATTTGGAAAAAGTCAAGGGGTCTGAATACCATGGCATTGTTGAATACCATGTGATTGGCTTGAACGGCATTCTAGAGCATGCATTATTTCCCTATAGCGCACAGTATATTAGCATGGTAGAATTCAATGGCTATAGTTCATTCTTACATGTTCTATGTTTTGAGCAGCTTTTGAAAGCAAACGTTTTCAAAATCGACTTTTGGCATTGTTGAATTCGATTTTCTTAATAGCAAGCTAGGACGGATGGTTTGGTTAGCTAAACTAGCAAGTCTGTTTGTTTGGTTACCAAGGCAACTACTGTAGCTATCTAGTAAACTTGCTAGCTATTTCAGTGGAATTATGCATACTGCCTCAAGCTCATTGCAAAGTGGTGTGTGATGCGCTGATGAAGAATGCCTTCCGTTGCCGTTTTAATGCCTTGTTCAAAACAACTGGGAACTCGGAAATCTCAGACTTCAGTGCATTCAAGACAACTAGGGAAAAAAACAAGCTCCGACTGGGAAAAATATTTTGTACGGTCATCCAACTCGGAATTCCAACTCGGAAACTTGGGCCTCTTTCTAGAGCTCAGACTTTCCGACCTGAAGATCACGGATGTCATGATTTGACCTCTTATTTTTCTGAGTTCCCAGTTGTCTTGAAAGCACCACAAGATGCTGTAGCAGCAGCTCTTACGCTGTCTGACACATTTTCCATTCGGGCTCTGTATCTGTATGCTGTACGCGTGTGATAAATACGAATATACTGTACACACGTGGCAATTTAACTCCACTCAATTATGCAAATTAACCTATAGACCGATAAGCATGACTAGTCATTTTGTTGTGAAAAATAGGCATTATATTGCATGCCTTATATTATATCACATGCCTTACTTTTATTTTTCTGCATAAGTAAAATCAGGATTATGCCCCTTCTGCCATTCATTCCAATTAGAATGGTTTGGATTTCTCCCTGACCAATATGGCTGCCATTGACTAATATGGCTGCCATTTTCACCCCATTCTGGAACCTTTAGGGTTTATGACATAGCCCTTCAAGCAATTTAATAGGATCTCTATGACTGGAACAATCACTGATCTAACCTAGATACCCTTACACATTAATTTACTCTCACTGACTTGATTATACTGAAATTCTAGACAGAAATACCCCCATATCTGACACTGATTGACAGACATGTGCACCGAGATACAGTGAGGGAAAAAAGTATTTGATCCCCTGCTGATTTTGTACGTTTGCCCACTGACAAAGAAATGATCAGTCTATAATTTTAATGGTAGGTTTATTTGAACAGTGAGAGACAGAATTACAATAAAAAAATCCAGAAAAACGCTTGTCAAAAATGTTTTAAATTGATTTGCATTTTAATGAGGGAAATAAGTATTTGACCCCCTCTCAATCAGAAAGATTTCTGGCTCCCAGGTGTCTTTTATACAGGTAATGAGCTGAGATTAGGAGCACACTCTTAAAGGGAGTGCTCCTAATCTCAGCTTGTTACCTGTATAAAAGACACCTGTCCAAAGAAGCAATAAATCAATCAGATTCCAAACTCTCCACCATGGCCAAGACCAAAGAGCTCTCCAAGGATGTCAGGGACAAGATTGTAGACCTACACAAGGCTGGAATGGGCTACAAGACCATCGCCAAGCAGCTTGGTGAGAAGGTGACAACAGTTGGTGCGATTATTCGCAAATGGAAGAAACACAAAATAACTGTCAATCTCACTCGACCTGGGGCTCCATGCAACATCTCACCTCGTGGAGTTGCAATGATCATGATAACGGTGAGGAATCAGCCCAGAACTACACGGGAGGATCTTGTCAATGATCTCAAGGCAGCTGGGACCATAGTCACCAAGAAAACAATTGGTAACACACTACGCCGTGAAGGACTGAAATCCTGCAGCGCCCGCAAGGTCCCCCTGCTCAAGAAAGCACATATACATGCCCGTCTGAAGTTTGCCAATGAACATCTGAATGATTCAGAGGAGAACTAGGTGAAAGTGTTGTGGTCAGATGAGACCAAAATGGAGCTCTTTGGCATCAACTCAACTCGCCGTGTTTGGAGGAGGAGGAATGCTGCCTATGACCCCAAGAACACCATCCCCACCGTCAAACATGGAGGTGGAAACATTATGGTTTGGGGGTGTTTTTCTGCTAAGGGGACAGGACAACTTCACCGCCTCAAAGGGACGATGGACGGGGCCATGTACCATCAAATCTTGGGTGAGAACCTCCTTCCCTCAGCCAGGGCATTGACAATGGGTCGTGGATGGGTATTCAAGCATGACAATGACCCAAAACACACGGCCAAGGTAACAAAGGAGTCGCTCAAGAAGAAGCACATTAAGGTCCTGGAGTGGCCTAGCCAGTCTCCAGACCTTAATCCCATAGAAAATCTGTGGAGGGAGCTGAAGGTTCGAGGTGCCAAACGTCAGCCTCGAAACCTTAATGACTTGGAGAAGATCTGCAAAGAGGAGTGGGACAAAATCCCTCCTGAGATGTGTGCAATCCTGGTGGCCAACTACAAGAAACGTCTGACCTCTGTGATTGCCAACAAGGGTTTTGCCACCAAGTACTAAGTCATGTTTTGCAGAGGGGTCAAATACTTATTTCCCTCATTAAAATGCAAATCGTTTTTGTTATTCTGTCTCTCACTGTTCAAATAAACCTACCATTAAAATTATAGATTGATCATTTCTTTGTCAGTGGGCAAACGTACAAAATCAGCAGGGGATCAAATACTTTTTCCCCTCACTGTACATACCATGATAGCTTCAAAGGGAAAAGGGTCATTACTCACGTCCATTTACACATGTAGCCATGATTAGAGATGTAGCCCTCGTCTGTGGTTGAGACCGCCGTGTAGACGTCTGCGCCCCAGGGCATGTAGGGAAACACACTAAAGAGAGTCTTGATCTCCGTAGGAGAGAGGGCAGAGTCCTTATCCTGATGTAAAGATAAATAATTATAGAGGTAAAATACACCATTAAGTCATAAACCATGCTGTTAGAGTGGGGGGTTGGTTTTAATGCTTAATTAACCCCCTAAAGTTTGCCCGCACCCTAGTGGAAATCTAATTAGCATGATACACATCCGGCAGTTTAAGCTAGAGAGATTTGTTTTTGCATTGTACGCGTCTCAATCCACGGCATCTGCTCATGTCGCACTTCCGCATCTGCAGTGAAAGGTGACAGAGCTAGAGCGGTGTTTGTCAGACCATGAGACATCCTGAAAATCGTTCTTCTCACAAAATCGTCCAAAACGTCAGAACGTTTTGGCCTACAGACTCTATGGAAAGATGAGACTCTCACAAACAACAATGGTGTTCCCCGTTTTGCTCTACGACCCACAAGCGTCTTGGGACTCGTCTGAAGTCGGTACAGCCGATCTGTAGTGTCCAAACAGTTTACCTACACTGGTTACACTGTGGGCTAAAAAGGTGAGACTCTCACAAACGCCTATATGTCGGTTGTTTTGCTCTAGGACGCCCACAGGCCTCACAAGACTCGTCTGAAGGTCCCCCGGGACCAGTTTGCTAGCCTAGCTAGCCTGAAACCTCAAATGGAGGACGCTAACAAACGTTTTCAACGGTGCAGGAGCTTTGTTTATTTAATTTGAGGCTTCAGGCTAGCTGGGCTTCCGTGTCTCTCTTCTTGACAGGGAATTCTCAACTTGTCCAAGAGAGAATTACACAGCTTTATTCCGGGAGAATGTGGACCGCCCGGACTTTCAATGTAGCAACGGACTACAGGGGCACAGTGGCTACTCTTAGAAAACAAGTAGCGAACTTACACGAGCTACTGGGGAATCCAGGCCCGCCTACATTACAAGGCTGCTTCTGACCATTCTACGAAAGCTTCAGAGAGCCGACGCTGTCGTAGTCCATGTGGGGTCAAACGACATTAGGAGGGCTAGCTTGGAACTGCTGAAAATGGATTTTAAAGAACTGATTCTAGCTCTGAAAGATTTGAAAAAGCAGCCAATTATTTCAGGTCCGGTACCATCGTTGGGCCGCCGGTGTGAAAGATTCAGCATGCTACTGGCATTACACACCTGGCTAAAAGATTACTGTAGCTCTGCTGGAATAACTTTTATAGATAACTTTGACACCTTCTGGAAACAGAAGATGCTCTACAGAAATGATGGCATTCATCCAAATCATCTTGGCTCCTGGACTCTGTCCACGCATTTCAAGGCTGCGTTGAGACAATTACTTATCAATGACCCAAGCCCAGCTCAGATAATCCCTACCATTGTGTCGCTGAGTTGTTGTAATGCTGCAGCAAATGTACATTATTCAAGGAGAGTTCGCAGTCACAATGTAAGTAACCTAATTTATGTCCCCCTACCTACCCTGAATGCCTCTATCGATCCTACAGCTATTGTATACAGTAATCTTGTGCCTATGAAGCAGAGTTATATTGTTAGCACTGAGGCGGTGTGCCCTAGTAGGAAGTCCACTGTGTGCAGCTCATCCTGCACTATCAGCTCAAACATAAATACTTCTGATAAGCTTCCCAGTAAAGCAATAAAAACAATCAAGCATCCCAGAAAAAAAAATAGCCCACATTAACATATGTAGCTTAAGAAACTAGGTTCATGAAATCAATAACTTGCTAGTAAATGATGACATTCATATTCTGACTATCTCTGAAGCTTACTTAGATAAAGAATGGCGCCGGAGGAGATGGCTGCCATTTACGGCCCCCTAACCAATTGTGCTATTATGTATGTTTTTTCGCGTTATTTGTAATTTATTCTGTACATACTGTTTCTGCCACCGTCTCTTACGACCAAAAGGAGCTTCTGGATATCAGGACAGTGATTACTCACCTCGTATTGGACAAAGATTTTTATTCAACGAGTTGGACGTGAAGGATTTTCAACAGACACCCGACAAGGCCCAAATCCCCGTCATTCGCATGAGAAAGAGACGGCGATATCGTGGACGTCAGTCCTATTAGCCAACGTACAATCATTGGAAAACAAAATGGACGACCTACGATCACGGATATCCTACCAACAGGACATTCAAAACTGTAATATCTTATAAATTACAAATCTTATGTTTCACAGAGTCATGGCTGAACGACGACATGGATAACATAGCTGGTGGGATATACGCTACATCGGCAGGATAGAACGGCTGACTCCAGTAAGACAAGGGGTGGCGGTCTGTGTATATTTGTAAACAACAGCTGGTGCACAAAATCTAATATTAAGGAAGTCTCGAGGTTTGCTCGCCTGAGGTAGAGCAAACCTCGAGACAGGAAAACGCTCATCCAGAGGCAGTGCTCCTAGTGGCCGGGGACTTTAATGCAGGGAAACTTACATCCGTTCTACCTCATTTCTACCAGCATGTTAAATGTGAAACCAGAGGAAAAAGAAACTCTAGACCACCTTTACTCCACACACAGAGACACGTACAATGCTCTCCCTCACCCTCCATTTGGCAAATCTGACCATAATTATATCCTCCTGATTCCTGATTATAAGCAAAAACTAAAGCAGGAAGCACCAGTGACTCGGTTAATAAGGAAGTGGTCAGACGACGCAGATGCTAAGCTACAGGACTGTTTTGCTAGCAAAGACTGGAATATGTTCTGGGATTTTTCCGATGGCATTGAGGAGCACACCACATCAGTCACTGGCTTCATCAATAAGTGCATCGATGACGTCGTCCCCACAGTGACCGTACGTACATACCCCAACCAGAAGCCATGGATTATAGGCAACATCCGCACTGAGCTAAAGGGTAGAGCTGCCGCTTTCAAGGAGCGGGACTCTAACCCGGACACTCTAACCCGGAAATCCTGCTATGCCCTCAGACGAACCATCAAACAGGCAAAGAGTCAATACAGGACTAAGATTGAATCATACTACACCGGCTCCGACGCTCGTCGGATGTGGCAGGGATTGCAAACTATTACAGACAACAAAGGGAAGCACAGCCACGAGCTGCCCAGTGATACGAGCCTACCAGACGAGCTAAATCACTTCTATGCTCGCTTCAAGGCAAGCAACACTGAAGCATGCATGAGAGCATCAGCTGTTCAGGATGACTATGTGATCACGCTCTCCGTAGCCGACGTGAGTAAGACTTTTAAGCAGGTCAACATTCACAAGGCCGCTCGGCCAGACGGATTACCAGGACGCGTACTCCGAGCATGCGCTGACCAACTGGCAAGTGTCTTCACTGACATTTTCAACATGTCCCTGACTGAGTCTGTAATACCAAGATGTTTCAAGCAGACCACCATAGTCCCCGTGCCAAAGAACACTAAGATAACCTGCCTAAATGACTACCGACCCATAGCACTCACGTCTGTAGCCATGAAGTGCTTTGAAAGGCTGGTCATGGCTCACATCAACACCATTATTCCAGAAACCCTAGACCTACTTCAATTTGCATACCGCCCCAACAGATCCACAGATGATGCAATCTCTATTGCACTCCACACTGCCCTTTCCCACCTGGACAAGAGGAACACCTACATCAGAATGCTATTCATTGACAACAGCTCAGCGTTCAACACCATAGTGCCCTCAAAGCTCATCACTAAGCTAAGGACCCTGGGACTAAATACCTCCCTCTGCAACTGGATCCTGGACTTCCTGACGGGCTGCCCCCAGGTGGTAAGGGTAGGTAACAACACATGTGCCACGTTGATCCTCAACACGGGGGCCCCTCAGGGGTGTGTGCTCAGTCCCCTCCTGTACTTCCTGTTCACCCATGACTGCATGGCCAGGCACGACTCCAACACCATCATTAAGTTTGCCGACGACACAACAGTGGTAGGCCTGATCACCGACAACAATGAGACAGCCTATAGGGAGGAGGTCAGAGACCTGGTCGTGTGGTGCCAGGATAACAACCTTTCCCTCAATGTGATCAAGACAAAGGAGATGATTGTGGACTACAGGGGGAAAAAAAAGAGGACTGAGCATGCCCCCATTCTCATCGACGGGGCTGTAGTGGAACAGGTTGAGAGCTTCAAGTTCCTTGGTGTCCACATCACCAACAAACTATCATGGTCCAAACACCAAGCCAAGACAGTCGTGAAGAGGGCACGACAAAGCCTATTCCCCCTCAGGAGACTGAAAAGATTTGGCATGGGTCCTCAGATCCTCAAAAAGTTATACAGCAGTACCATCGACAACATCCTGACTGGTTGCATCACTGCCTGGTATGGCAACTGCTCGGCCTCCGACCGCAAGGCACTACATCACTGGGGCCAAGCTTCCTGCCATCCAGGACATCTATACCAGTCGGTGTCAGAGGAAGGCCCTAAAAATTTTCAAAAACTCCAGCCACCCTAGTCATAGACTGTTCTCTCCACTACCGCACGGCAAGCGGTACCGGAGTGCTATGTCTAGGTCCAAAAGGCTTCTTAACAGCTTCTACCCCCAAGCCATAAGACTCCTGAACAGCTAATCATGGCTACCCAGACTATTTGCATTGTCCCCCCCCCACCCCACCCCATCCCCTCTTTTACGCTGCTGCTACTCTGTTTAATATCTATGCATAGTCACTTTAACTCTACCCACATGTACACTACCGTTCAAAAGTTTGGGGTCACTTAGAAATGTCTTTGTTTTCGAAAGAAAAACAATTTTTTTGTCCATTTAAAATAACATCAAATTGATCAGAAATACAGTGTAGACATTGTTAATGTTGTAAATGGCTATTGTAGCTGGAAACGGCTGATTTTTAATGGAATATCTACATAGGCGTACAGAGGCCCATTATCAGCAACCATCAGTCCTGTGTTCCAATGGCACGTTGTATTTGCTAATCCAAGTTTATCATTTTAAAAGGCTAATTGATCATTAGAAAACCCTTTTGCAATTATGTTAGCACAGCTGAAAACTTTTGTGCTGATTAAAGAAGCAATAAAACTGGCCTTCTTGAGACTAGTTGAGTATCTGGAGCATCAGCAATTGTGGGTTCGATTACAGGATCAAAATGTCCAGAAACATATCACTTTCTTCTGAAACTGTCAGTCTATTCTTGTTCTGAGAAAAAAAGGCTATTCTATGCGAGAAATTGCCAAGAAACTGAAGATCTCGTACAACGCTGTGTACTACTCCCTTCACAGAACAGCGCAAACTGGCTCTAACCAGAATAAAAAGAGGAGTGGGAGGCCCCGGTGCACAAATACATTAGTGTCTAGTTTGAGAAACAGGCGCCTCACAGGTCCTCAACTGGCAGCTTCATTAAATAGTACCCGCAAAACACCAGTCTCAACGTCAACAGTGTAGAGGCGACTCTGGGATGCTGACCTTCTAGGCATAGTTGCAAAGAAAAAGCCATATCTCAGACTGTCCATCTTAATCTTTTCTTTTTATTGGCCAGTCTGAGATATGTAAAATAGATAAGAAAAAGCCATAACACTTATTTTTCTTAAAACTGCGTTGTTGGTTAAGGGCTTGTAAGTAAGCATTTCACTGTAAGGTGTTTTAGGTGCATGTGGCAAATAACATTTGATTTGATTTGATAATACCTTTGATGATACAGTGGTAGCAATACATGGTTATAACATCTACAGAAAAGCCAATGGGGTCTGTGTTGCGGTCTATATTCAGAGCCACATTCCTGTAAAGATTAGAGAGGATCTCATGTTAAATACTGTTGAAGTAATATGTCTACAGGTTCACCTGCCTTCCCTAAAGCCCATTCTTGTGGGAAGCTGCTATAGACCCCCAAGTGCTAACAGTCAGTATCTGGATAATACGTCTGAAGTGCTTGATAAGGTATGTGACATCAACAGAGGTATATTTTCTGGGTGACCTTAATATTGACTGGCTTTCATCAAGCTGCCCACTCAAGAAAAAGCTTCAAACTGTAACCAGTGGTTCAGGTTATCAGTCAACCTACCAGGGTATTTACAAACAGCAAAGGAATGAAATCATCAACATCTATTGATCACATCTTTACAAATGCTGCAGAAATCTGCTTTAAAGCAGTATCCAAATCCATCGTATGTAGTGATCACAATATAGTAGCCATATCTAGGACTAATATAGTGTATAAGAGGTCATACAAGCAATTTTTTAGTGATTCCTATGTTGACGATGTAAATAATATTTGCTGGTCTGTGGTGTGTAATGAGGAGCAACCAGACGCTGCACTTGACACATTTATGAAATTGCTTATTCCAGTTACTAATAAGCATACACCCATTAAGAAAATGACTGTAAAAACTGTAAATCCCTGTGGATTGATGTGGAATTTAAAATGTTTATGGTTGAGAGGGATTAAGCAAAATGAATGGCTAATAAGTCTGGCTGCACAACCGATTGGCAAACGTACTGCAAATTGAGAAATCATGTGACTGAACTGAATAAAAAGAAGAAACTACACTATGAAACAAAGATAAATGATTTAAAGAATGACAGTAAGAAGCTTTGGAGCATCTTACATGACATTTTGGGCAAAAACGCAAACTCCGCTCCATCATACATTGAATCAGATGGCTCATTCATCACAAAACCCACTGATATTGCCAACTACTTTAATGATTTTTTCATCGACAAGATTAGCAAATTTAGGCATGACATGCCAGCAACAAACGCCAACGCTACACATCCAAGTATAACTGACCAAATTATGAAAGACAAGCATTGTAATTTTGAATTCCGAAAAGTGAGTGTGGAAGAGGTGAATAAATTATTGTTGTCTATCAACAATGACAAGCCACCTGGGTCTGACAACTTGGATGGAAAATTACTGAGGATAATAGCGGACAATATTGCCACTCCTATTTGCCATATATTCAATCTAAGCCTACAAGAAAGTGTGTGCCCTCAGGCCTGGAGGGAAGCAAAAGTCTTTCCGCTACCCAAGAATAGTAAAGCCCCCTTTACTGGCTCAAATAGCTGATCAATCAGCCTGTTACCAAGCCTTAGTAAACTTTTGGAAAGAATTTGATTGACCAGATACAATGTAATTTTATAGTAAACAAATTGACAACAGACTTTCAGCACACTTATAGGGAAGGATATTCAACAAGCACGGCACTTACACTAATGACTGATGATTGGCTGAGAGAAATGGATGATAAAAAGATTGTGGGAGCTGTTTTGTTAGACTTCAGTGCGGCTTTTGACATTATCGATCATAGTCTGCTGCTGGAAAAACATATGTGTTATGGCTTTACACCCCCTGCTATATTGTGTATGAAGAGTTACCTGTCTAACAGAACACAGAGGGTGTTCTTTAATGGAAGCCTCTCCAACATAATCCAGATAGAATCAGGAATTCCCCAGGGCAGCTTACTTTTTTCAATCTTTACTAATGACATGCCACTGGCTTTGAGTAAAGCCAGAGTGTCTATGTATGCGGATGACAACACATTACACGTCAGCTACTACAGCGAGTGAAATTACTGCAACACTTAAAGAGCTGCAGTCAGTTTCAGAATGGGTGGCAAAAAATAAGTTTGTCCTAAATATTTAGACTGTAATGGATTAAAATAAACTGGGGAGATGTATTCTCTTTACACTTAAATATAACCAGCTTAATGCTTTGTTGACAAACAGACAGATGGATATAAATGGACTTCCTGATGGCCACTGAGGTGGTCACTCACCTCGTCATACTTGTCAAACAGCCTCTGGAGAAACTGGTGACCCAGATGATTGAGCTCGGTAGTGCAGCCCACGGGCACCCGTAGCCTGTCAACACATAGAACACAGCCATATACAGTTCCTTCAGAAAGTATTCAGACCCCTTGACTTTTTTACAGCTTTATTCAACAAAAAAAAAATGTATTTACTTTTTTTATTGTATCAATCTACACACAATACCCCATAATGACAAAGCAAAAATAGGTTTAGAAATGTTTGCTAATTTATTAAAAATACTAAACTTAAATATTACATTTACATAAGTATTCAGACCCTTTACTTAGTACTTTTTTGAAGCACCTTTGGCAGCGATTACAGCATCGATTCTTCTTGGGTATGACGCTACAAGCTTGGAACAGGTGTATTTGGGGAGTTTCTCCCATTCTTCTCTGCAGATCCTCTCAAGCTCTGTCAGGTTGGATGGGGAGCGTCGCTGAACAGCTATTTTCAGGTCTCTCCAGAGATGTTCGATCGGGTTCAAGTCCGGACTCTGGCTGGGCCACTCAAGGACATTCAGAGACTTGTCCCGAAGCCACTCCTGTGTTGGCTTGGCTGTGTGCTTAGGGTCGTTGTTCTGTTGGAAGGTGAACCTTCGCCCCAGTCTGAGGTCCTGAGCGCTCTGGAGCAGGTTTTCATCAAGGATCTCTCTGTACTTTGCTCTATTCATCGTTCCCTCGATCCTGACTAGTCTCCCAGTCCCTGCCGCTGAAAGACATCCCCACAGCATGATGCTGCCACTACCATGCTTCACCGTAGGGATGGTGCCAAGGTTTCCTCCAGATGTGACGCTTGGCATTCAGGCCAAAGAGTTCAATCTTGGTTTCATCAGACCAGAGAATCTTGTTTCTCATGGTCTGAGAGTCTTTAGGTGCCTTTTGGCAAACTCCATGCGGGCTGTCATGTGCCTTTTACTGAGAAGTGGCTTCCGTCTGGCAACTCTACCATAAAGGCCTGATTGGTGGAGTGCTACAGAGATGGTTGTCCTTCTGGAAGGTTCTCCCATCTCCACAGAAGAACTCTAGAGCTGTGTCAGAGTGACCATCGGGTTCTTGGTCACCTCCCAGACCAAGGCCCTTCTCCCCCCGATTGCTCAGGTGGGCAACTGTAGGAAGAATCTTGGTGGTTCCAAACTTCTTCCATTTAAGAATGATGGAGGCCACTGTGTTCTTGGGGACCTTCAATGCTGCAGAAATGTTTTGGTACCCTTCCCCAGATCTGTGCCTCGACACAATCCTGTCTCGGAGCTCTACGGACAATTCCTTCGACCTCATGGCTTGGTTTTTGCTCTGACATGCACTGTCAACTGTGGGACCTTATATAGAAAGGTGTGTGCCTTTCCAAATCATGTCCAATCAATTGAATTTACCACAGGTGGACTCCAATCAAGTTATAGAAACATCTCAAGGATGATCAATGGAAACAGGATGCACCTGAGCTCAATTTCGAGTCTCATAGCAAAAGGTCTGAATACTTATGTAAATATGTAACGACATGATGTTTTCTGGACAACACTGACTCACCAAAAACCTGTGACAATACTTGTGCAGTATCATCTCCGATATCACATTACATCGTTGGGGGAGGTAACCAACTTTCTCTCCTATATGTCTGTGAGTGGGTCAGAAACATACAGTAGTGGAGCCAGAACACATACTGTGGGTATAGGTAGTCATCCATCAGCTCCAGCGAGTCGTCGTAACCAAACTTCCTCAGGATGGTCCATGTGGTCTCGTGCCGCCCCCTTTGGATGAATAGTGTGTTGAGGAACAGGAAGCCTGGTGGAAGAGGATACAATTAGAATCATGTCTGTTAAAGCTGTTATTGCATAGGCTGAATACTTAAACTATTGACACTAGCAACATTGAATTCCACAATTTTACCAAAGGCTAAACCCAACATTCCCCAAGTCCTATATCATGAAAGGCTGAGCCATCTCACTGTAGGTTCATCCCTCACCGTTCAGCGTAATGCCGTTATCCTGAACCCCGTCGCTCGTGTTCTTCCATACAACCGTCTTCACGTCCTCCAGAGCTTGGGGGGCCAGAGGATTCCCGAAGCACAATTTCTGAGGAACCGCACAAACACATTCAGTTAAAACTATACCCGGCTGTTCCAATGGTCTGGGGCAGTTTCACACCTGACCTGCACATTTTTGTTCTCTACGCATGTTCATGTGGCACGTTAGTGTGGCACGCGCACGTGTGTGTGTGCACATATACAGTGCCTTTTAGAAAGTATTTACACCCCTTGACTTTTTCCACATTTATGTTGTGTTACAGCCTGAATTTTAAATGTATAAATTGAGATTTTTGGTCACTGGCCTACACACAATACCCCATAATGTCAAAGTGGAATTATGTTTTTCAATATTTTACAAAAAGTATTAAAAATGTATCTTGAGTCAATAAGTATTCAACTCCTTTGTTATGGCAAACCTAAATACGTTCAGGAGTAAAAATGTGCTTAACAAGTCACATAATAAGTTGCATGGACTCACTCTGTGTGCAATAATAGTGTTTAACATGTTTTTTTAATGACTACCTCATCTCTGTACCCCACACATACGATTATCTGTATGTCCCTCAGTCGAACAGTGAATTTCAAACACAGATTCAACCACAAAGACCAGGGAGGTTTTCCAATGCCTCGCAAAGAAGGGCACCTATTGGTAGATGGGTAAAAATAAAATAAAGCAGACATTGAAGATACCTTTGAGCATGGTGAAGTTAATAATTACACATTGGATGGTGTATCAATACACCCAGTCACTACAAAGATACAGGCGTCCTTCCTAACTCAGTTGCCAGAGAGGAAGGAAACCGTTCAGGGATTTCACCATGAGGCCAATGGTGACTTTAAAACAGATAAGAGTTTAATGGCTGTGATAGGAGAACACTGAGGATGGATCAACAACATTGTAGTTACTCCACAATACTAACCTAATTGAACGCAAAAAGAAGGAAGCATGTACAGAATACAAATATTCCAAAACATGCATCCTGTTTGCAACAAGGAATTAAAGTAATACTGCAAAAAATGTGACAAAGCAATTAACTTTTTGTCCTGAATACAAAGTGTTATGTTTGGGGTAAATCCAATACAACACATTACTCAGTACCACTCTGCATATTTTCAAGCATAGTGTTGGCTGCATCATGTTAGGGAGTGGTTGAAAATTACACAATTACCCAGAGGAAAAAGGGGGAGGGTCATGCTTTTTCAATTTTAGTAAGGGAGAGAGTTTAGTATTTAAAAAAAATGTAGTCCAGGGTAGGGTCATTTAATTTATCATCGATTTAAATGTCATATTGCTCAGGGTTTGAGAATGAGTTGCTTATTATATCTCGATGTGTGGCCGATGCTGCCCCCATCCCTGATTTTCTGCTGGCCTCGCAATATCAAGTGCGCCTAGAGTGGTCTCAGTCAAATGATCCATAGGCTATACTGATGTACCGTTCAGTTTGAGAGGTAGAGCGCCAAGATGAGAAGGAGGACCGGAGGTAAGCTTGCTACTGCTATCATTTATTTTAATTTAAAAAACACATTTCTTTGCCCATAATGTAGCTTTTTATCAGAGTTATTGACCTCACAATAAACCATATTCGAGTAATTTACATAACTTACATTACTATGAAGCGCAGCCGCGGAGATGGACAGCGCATGGGTGCTGAAAGTAGGCTAATTCGAGAAGGCCTAATTCATTTAAACATTCTTCATTTTAATTTGACTTGAAGCTACTTACAATAATAGGATTTTGTGTTGGAGCCTATTTCTTCCTATTCAAGAAATAAGAGGTAGGCCTACCTGTTTGACAGACAAAATCATAGTCTACTATCCATAGATTTTGCCAGCCAATTCTTTCAGTCACCATGCACTGCTTAAATATCTGTGTCAGTAAAGGGCTTGGTGTGTTAAATTAAATCCAGGTTTCTAATTGAGGGTATTGTGGCATGTGAGGGTATTGTGGCTTTTGCTAAAGAAAATGGCCAAAAGCATAGGCCTACCTCTAGTTAGCTTAAGATGTAGAAAAAAATTAATGGACCCGATTAGGGATGCAAATGTAGGTACATTTTGTTGCCGACTAACCAGCCCCCATTAACTGGTTAACAAATGGTTACATTTGTTCAAAACAGTAAAATTAAGTGACCAACAGAAAATACTATGCATGGAAGGAACTGACATTTTTTCATTAAGAGCTTAAAGAACATGCGACAATAGCAAGCCTAGCCTCTCATATTGTTGAACATGCAACTACTGTAATGAAGCAGAGAATGTAATTTTCAAACATTTGCCAAATTGCAATTTGTGGGGAAAAAAGCTGTTCTAGAAGACACACCTGATATGCGAGCCGTTTCATGTGACAGAGATGAACATCTCCTTTAGAAAGAGGGAATACTTAAATATGCAACAACTAGGATGGGTTGTTAATATGACTAGGACTGTGCCTTTGGCTTCTGGACAACGAAAGAAAGTTGATATGAAAACCAGTAGACCAGGATCGAAATGCTGTGAAACGTTGTTGGTTTCTAGCTTACGCCTCGATCACACAGACAGGTTCATTGCATTTTGGTGCACCAGAAGTATATTGCTGCGTAAGCCTTGCAGCATTGCGTTGCAGAGGCAGTTGCAGTGCGTTCTGGTGTGGTGCATACCTTGGATTTATCGAATGTATGCATCAAACTGTATGCGTCCCGGCTTGACAGAAATGGTAGCAGAAGGTGAATGTTGAACTTTTGTTGCACGCATATCCAGATGACGCTGCGTAACATTTTGCATAAGCACTGTCGGTGTGATTAAGGCGTGTTGTTGTTAGCGGTTTCGTGCTGCTACTCTCTCTCCCACTGCTCCACTGCAGACTGCGTCTGTGAGTTGCTTAGCAACGAGTCTCCGCTCTGGATTGCTGGCGGCTCACTCTGATCTGGACACATGACATTTTTAACAACGCTTTTTTCCTGATAAAAACGAGTTCATTGCATCCGCCGTGGAGCCCAGTTTCATAATATTACCATATGTCCCAGCTGCTTGTCGTAGTTTTGAAGTAATCACGAAAAAAGTATTATTTTAGGGCATTTTTCACCCTGCCAGCTCCTATTAGTTCTATTGAGCACTGTGGCACCAACTCACCTTCATAACGTTCTATTCCCAGACCACTGTTCTACGTCACAATGTCTGCTTCGCTATTGTTGGCAATGAGACCTGCCCACGCTGGTAGTTAAAACGTCAACAACAAAACATTACTCATGGAACTCTGAGGTCGTCCCATTGTTTTCTATAGGGGAAATATAGGTATGTCTGTCTATTTTGCTAAATATCTCACAATGTGTATATTTAGATTTTTTCAAGTTGAGCACCATTTTAATCATGAGAATCTCCTCTTTGTAATGATGTAAGTCTGGTCAGCGAGCTCGGTTGTCATCAAATGCTAGCCCCAAAATACTTTCTGCCCTTGCAACCCTGAGCTCCGCCCATTGTTTTCCTATGGAGAAGCATGCTGGTCTATTTGGCCAAATATCTCTCAATGTGTATATTTAGATTTTTTCAAGTCGGACACCATTTTAATCAGGAGAATCTCCTCTTTGTAATTATGTAAGTCTGGGCAGCGAGCTTGGTTGTCATCGATCACTAGACCAGAAATAGTCAGAAGTTTTCATTTTTTCCCTACTTCTCATTACTCAGACATAAACACAGTTCGAGGTGCGGATGTTTACTTTCTACACAAGTAGGTTTTTTTTCAGTTTCGTCCTAAAAACAGATTGTAGTGGTGATATGAAAAGGGATACATTTTTTTGTACCATTTAGGCGAAATTGAATTCTAAGCATAATTCCAGTCAAAATAGGCTCTGCGAACGTTCGATTCAATTCATTTGCTATGGGCTCGCGCTAGTGTTCCAGCTTAGCCAACGTTCTATTGCCGTTTTTCAGCCTTGGACGACATAAAAAAATTGCCACATATCACCTACGAAGACATCTTCAATTATGTTGTCTTGTCTCTGTGTGGCTGGGTCAGATGAGGAGCAACAAAGCACAGAAGCATTTCAATACCTCCACAGCGGCAAAGTTGGACGGGTGCTTATTCACTGTCTTGAGGATAACAACCTGGTGTTCATCAAAGCAGATATCCAGCCCAGTCAGAGCAAAACACACCATCATTCTGCCTGGATTCTTGTATCATATGTCGGCACGGTGGAGACGGCAGGGTGTCCTTACATTTTAGTCATTTAGCAGACGCTCTTATCCATAGCGACTTACAGTTAGTGAGTGCATACATTTTATTTTTAATTTTTCATACTGGCCCCCCGTGGGAATCGAACCCTCAACCCTGGCGTTGCAAACGCCATGCTCTACCAACTGAGCTACATCCCTGCCGGCCATTCCCTCCCCTACCCTGGACGACGCTGGGCCAATTGTGCGCCGCCCCATGGGTCTCCCGGTCACGGCCAGCTATGACAGAGCCTGGATGTTCTTGTGTTGCAGGGCAGGGGAAGTCTTGCAGTCATGCAGCTGCAATACTATGGAAGGTATCTTTCATACTTCCCACGGGGGGCCAGTATGAAAAATGTATGCACTCACTAATTGTAAGTCGCTCTGGATAAGAGCGTCTGCTAAATGACTAAAATGTCAATTGGATCACACAAAAAAGCTCGCTGGCTTTTTGTTTATCATAACTTGCCCTTTCTATGACTGACACATTTGATGATAGCTAGTTACTTAGCTAGCTAGCTAATTGTGACAATACCTTATCACTGACCTGAACTGATAAGGTTAACTATTACAACATGCACACAAGGTTCTTGGTTTCAATGGCTCATTGCATAAGTATATCAGTCTAATCTCGAATGGCAATGAGATAGGTACAGAATCAAGGTGAGTTTTACAATCAAATAGGAAATTACCAACAACCTAAACGTACTAGTTAAAAGGGAACTGTGTAAACTAGTCAACTGGGAACACCATGTAAACTAGTGTTCTGTACTGTAATTGACTATTTTAACAGTTTTTATTGAAGGTGCAGAATGCTGTGTATGGAGGATTGACAGGGATGTCCTGTACAGTGGAATTTAGTGCCAAAAAGGTTGAGCGAGATCTGTTTCAAACGTCACAAACCAAGTGACGAGTTCTCTGACAGCACCCCAGCCGCTTCTCCATCTCTACCTCCAACTCTTGCATACCACTCCCACAATACACTTAAGAAGTTTGGAAGGGGCCAATGTTCCAGTGGGGAGCCTTCTGCACATGTGCATCAAAGCTAAACCAAACAGTCATCAAGTTCCAGCAGCAGCCACACAGCTCATCAACATGCAGTGTCAGAAATGCTTGTAATTTTAGGACATTTATGTTAACCTGGAGGAGTGTAAATGTGCCAGCTTGGAGGAGGTCACTAAAGCACAGAGTGCCTCCCATGCATGGTATGATGCACGTAAATTTCAGCTCACTGCTCGCTCAGCAAAGAAGGTTCCTGTGCACACCTCAACAAATCCCGACAACTTTGTACGGGAGCATCTCTTCCCCAGGTTCCATGGGAACTCTGCAACCACATATGGCAAGGAGAACGAGCAGGTGGCCTACACATGGATGAAGAGCTGTGGGTTTAGTCTGGAGAGTAGAGGCACAGTAGTGAGTGTCAAGGAGCCGTGGCTTTCTGCAAGCCCAGATGGAGTGTTAAACTCTCAAGAACTTCTAGAAATCAAATGTCCTGTTCTGAGTAAGAAGTGTGAGTTTCTGACTGAACTGTTCTCCGGCAAACTCACAGATGTGAAGGTGGTGGATGGGGTTCCTCAGCTGCAACCCAATGGAGCCTGTGGGTATTACATGCCACCTGGGGCGGCAGGTAGCTTAGTGGTTAAGAGCGTTGTGCCAGTAACCGAAAGGTCGCTGGTTCTAATCCCCGAGCCGACTAGGTGAAAAATCTGTCAATGTGCCCTTGAGCAAGGCACTTAACCCTAATTGCTCCTGTAAGTCGCTCTGGATAAGAGTGTCTGCTAAATGTGTAAAATGTAAATGTAAAGTGCAAATAGGCATATTCTGCACAGGACTGGAGAGACGCAAACTGCTTGTCTGGGCTACATCCGAGCAGGTTGTTATTGATGTGCCTTTTGAGGTGAAGTTCTGTGCTGATGTTATCCCTAAACTGAAGGCATTCTATTTCCCACACATGCTGCCAAGGACAGTAGATGAGTTCCAGTCAGTCAGGCCTTGATCACACCGATAGCGTCATTGCGCAAAATGTTACGCAGCATCATCTGGATATGTGTGCAACAAAAGTTCAACATTCACCTTCTGCTACCATTTCTGTCAAGCTGTCTACGCATACAGTTTGACGCATACCAACGTATGCACCACACAGTACCAAAATGCAATGACCCTGTCTGCGTGATCGAGGCGTAACTCTGTGCTCCAAATATGTTCATCTATGTGGCATCTAGGCTCGGGGCCTAATACTTCTGTGTTTTTAAATAGTTCTTATATTTTGCGCCTTGCAAAGCTCTCTCTGCCAGCTCTACCTTATTATGTTATTTTTGTCTTGCATAGTTCTCTTCATATGCACATTTACCAGGTTATATTTGCAAAATTCTTGGTGGGGTTTTTTATGTCTTGCCTTGTACAGCTCTCTTCATACATGTTTATCTAATGCCTAAGGATAACTCCTTATGATTTGACAATTTTTATTGTACCTTATATGACTCTTTCTTTTCATATGGCACTTCATGGACTTATCTAAGCATACCGTAACTCATCTTACACTTAGCAAATTATGGTGTTAATAAAAACAATATGAAATTCCACTTTGTTGACATTTTCTTTGATATTTAACATTTTGAAATGAAGGACGAGGAAGCATGTCTAAGCTTTTCAAAGGTGTTTTCAGTTTGATTCTGGGTTTGGTTTTCAAGGGCACAAATTAAGAAACCAGTACTTGATAAACAGTTGTCTTCCCTCTTGGTCTGTTAGACATTTTGATGTTGAAGAAAATGTATTGTAAATAGGTTTAAGAAGGCATGATAGCAGCACCTAGTTGATGCCTTTAATTATCAGGAACAGACAAAGTTACAGTACATTTCAAATGTAGGAACATTGAAAATGATTCAGATTAAACAGGAAACCATCTACAGTGGCTTGCGAAAGTATTCACCCCCCTTGGCATTTTTCCTATTTTTTCTGTATACAGTGCATTCGGAAAGTATTCAGACCCCTTGACTTTTTCCACGTTGTTACGTTACAGCCGTATTCTAAAATGGATTAAATTGTTCCCCCCCCCATCAATCTACACACAATACCCCATAATGACAAAGCAAAAACTGTTTTTTTAAATATAAATTTTAGCAACAAAAATAAAAACGTTATCACATTTACATACATTACCAGTCAAAAGCTTGGACACAGCTACTCATTCCAGGGTTTTTCTTAATTTTTTACTATTTTCTACATTGTAGAATAATAGTGAAGACATCAAAACTATGAAATAACACATATGGAATCATGTAGTAACCAAAAAAAGTGTTAAACAAATCAAAATATATGATATTTGAGATTCTTCAAAGTAGCCACCCTTTGCCTTGATGACAGCTTTGCACACTTGGCATTCTCTCAAACCAGCTTCATGAGGTAGTCACCTGGAATGCATTTCAATTAACAGGTGTGACTTCTTAAAAGTTAATTTGTGAAATGCCTTTCCTTGGAATGGAAGACCCAGAGTTACCTCTGCTGCAGATGATAAGTGCATTAGAGTTACCAGCCTCAGAAATTTCACAGAGTTCAAGTAACAGACACATCAAAACATCAACTGTTCAGAGGGGAATGTGTGAATCAGGCCTTCACGGTCGAATTGCTGCAAAGAAACCACTACTAAAGGACACCAATAAGATCAAGAGACCTGCTTGGGCCAAGAAACACGAGCAATGGACATTAGACCGGTGAACATTTTCAAATTGGAGATTTTTGGTTCCAACCGCCTTGGCTTTGTGAGACGCGGTGTGGGCGAACGGATGATCTCCGCATGTGTATTTCCCACTGTAAAGCATGGAGGAGGAGGTGTTATGGTGTGGGGGTGCTTTGCTGGTGACACTGTCTGTAATTTATTTAGAATTCAAGGCACACTTAACCAGCATGGCTACCACAGCATTCTGCAGTGATACGCCATCCCATCTGGTTTGGGTTTAGTGGGACTATCATTTGTTTTTCAACAGGACATTGACCCAACACACCTCCAGGCTGTGTAAGGGCTATTTTACCAAGAAGGAGAGTGATGGAGTGCTGCATCAGATGACCTGGCCTCCACAATCCCCCGACCTCAACCCAATTGAGATGGTTTGGGATGAGTCGGACCGCAGAGTGAAGGAAAAGCAGCCAACAAGTGCTCAGCATATGTGGGAACTCCTTCAAGATTGTTGGAAAAGCTTTCCAGGTGAAGCTGGTTGAGAGAATGCCAAGAGTGTGCAAAGCTGTCATCAAGGCAAAGGGTGGCTATTTGAAGAATCTCAAATATAAAATATACACACAGCAGATCTCGGATGGTGAAGCCCCTGTCTGCCATAACTTCATCGCCAGGTTTAAGGTATTCAAGGAAACCAGAGTTTTGGGTGATGAACTTGTCACTGCATCTGCCTCCATATGCAGGAGAGATGAACATAACGTGTCCACATGGAGCAATGGCAACCAAATACTTTAGAGTATTGCTGGAATAATAGTGGCTGTATGACTCCCCTCTGGAATCAAGATTATGTGCATTCTGAAGAGTGGTTTCAGAGCAGTGGATGATGCAAGTGGTGTTGGGGAAATTCTGTTTGAAGCATCGAGGCAATGTGTTCAGGATTGTCTCCGTCGGCAGCCATGGAATGTAGATCCTCATGTGCTCCTCAATTGTGTCAATCCAGTAGGAAAGGATTCTGCTCACTACTCCCTGGGACACAGCAAAGCATTCAGCAAGGTCACCCTGGAGTAGATTCAGCTTCAGCTAGGTGATCAGTATTTCATCAGTGATATGCATTTTGAAGTTAGCTGTGTAGCATTTCTGCGGAATTTCTGCAGAAATGCTACATGGTTAGGGCTGTTGCGTTAACCGTATTACCGCCACACCGGCGGTCACGACTCATGAAGGCTGTCAAATTCCACATGACTGTTTAGTCACAGTAATTAGACTTCTCCAAGCT